GACAGCACTTAACAACAACATCATCATCAACAACAACAGCTCGGAGACTATCTCTAGAGAAGCAATTGCTGATTCAAATGATAGTATCATTGTCAGTGGAGAGGTTATAAACAACATTCAATATGCAGACAATAGATAATTACTAACTGACATTTCAGATGATCTTTAAAGGTTGCTCCATAAAGCAGTGGTCCCCAACCTTGGGCCTCCAGGTGTTCTTGGACTACAACCTTCACCATCACCTCTGCTGGCCAGGATTTCTGAGAGATGAAGTCCAAGGACATCTGGAGGCCCAAGGTTGGGGACCAGTGCCCTAAAGTCAATGAACTAAGTAATGAATACAGTGTAAAAATGAATGTGAAGAAAACCAAGTTCATGCCAATTATTAAAAAGAAAGCAACCCAAGAATTGCAGTCCATGAGTAAAAATGAAAAAAATTGCAGCATGTTGACAAGTAGAACTACCTTGGGATTCAATCATGGCCATGCAGAAAAAAATCAGAACAGAAGTGGTCTTGAGAAAATTCTTTAAAAGGAAGGATGTATGTGCAGCAAAAGTTTAAATTTGGTTTTCAGATTCCACGTATCAAAGTGCTACTATATGGCATGTATTTTAAAAGAGGCTACAGTTTTTTTTTTAAAAAGGCACTATTTGAAATGTGGTATTCTTGGGATGCTAAGAATTTTTTGGATCAAGAGGGTGGCCTATAAAGAACTACTAAGATGTGTGAATAAATACCAGGAAAACATAAAATACATAAAATTCAGAAAGCTGTACTGTGTTGGTCATGTAATAACAAAAAATACAGATGAATGTGAATATGAAAAGGATTGTGGAAAGCAGAAGAATGTCTTGGCAGAAGAACTTTGGAGATAGTTTGAATGCTGCACAACATTGTTGTTTAGAGGTGCCATGTTCAAAGTCGGCATGGATAGCATGTCATCCTCTGGTAGGAGAGGACTGAGAACATCAAGAAGAATTAGATCTATGTTTTTATTTCCTTCAGTAACTCAAGTTGATATGCATAGAAGCTCTCCCCCATTCCCTACTTCATCCTCACAACAAGACTCTGAGGTAGGTCAGACTAACACAATGATTCACCAAAATATTACTATCTACTAATACCACATTGGCTATCCAGTTGCAAACATACAGTAAGATAAAAATGGAGGTGCTCCTTCCATTGTTAAAGCCTAAAAGAGCCTTCTAGTAGTGCCATGGTTAAAGTGCAGTATTACAGCCCAGACACTGCTCACGATCAGCATTCAGTACCAATGGATCTGCAAACTGACTTGAGGTTGACTCAGCCTTTCATTCTTCCGAGATTGGTAAAATGAATATCCAGATCACCGGAGGTGGAGTGGGGGCAATGTGTAGCCTGTATAATTAAAAAATAAAATAAAATTACAAACAGGCCCCAAGAGTGATTTAAGCACTCTCAAGCGGTATTGAAGCAGCACATTTATAAAATAATCAGATTCTGTGTTAGCTCTGTTTAGTATACAAATATTATCTTTTAGAAGTGTGTGTGTGGCAACTTTAAAACTTTTTCATTCTGTTGCCTCATAAGAAAAAAGGAATTTTATTTATATATTTTCCTTTCTGTGTTCTTTCATCCCTTTCCATTATCAAGGTGATTTGCATGAAAATGGTAGCTTTGTTTCCTGAAAGCACTGGCTGTTTAGTCCAACAAACATCATAAACTCATATGCATTTCAGCTATATTCAGCAGTACCATTGGTTATACTGCAAGTATTTCATGGCTTCAGGTGACAAGAAACAGCGTGAATGCCAGAACTGCATGTTTTTCACTTCACTTTCTTTAAATATACCCAGTATATAAAGAGTGAGTGAAGAACAAAGAAAACATGTTCTGTATGTGCAAGGTAATAGTTTCTGACAGCGGGCATATTGTCATCATAATGTAGTCTCTCTATTTGTGTGTATGTATGTGTGTTTAGCATTATGACAGTACTTAAATGGATGTTCTGAATTTTCAGAAATTTCAAATTACAATGGAACAAATTGCAAAATGTTGCAGTATATCCTGTCTCCTAAGGGCCCACTGTCAGTTACAGAGACACTCGACCCAGGCGCTGGAGCACTGAGGATTCTAAATTGCTTCCATTTCCGCTGCCTTGGGGCACGCTTCTTGTGAGAGAGTTGCCCCTCCACATCACCAAGCTCTGGAGAAGAAGGCATGCCAACCCTCTCCACTGGAGGTGGCCGTGCCTCTGCATACTTCTCTGCTCACATGCTGCCAGAGAGGAAAGAGGCAGTTGTGACCTGGGCAGCAGCGCTGTGTGTTCCTTCAGTTTCAGATGATTTCCCTGGACACTCTGTTTTGTCTGGGTTCCAGGAAGACTCCTGGGAACGGCCTTACCACAGCTCTGATGAGAGCTTGTTGAAGCCTGCTCCCTGCCTCTTCCCTCTCTAGTGATGTGCCTGCAGAACGCTGTGTAGAAGCACTCCCGCAGAGTGGTTGGATGCCTCCCTTTCCAAAGCTTGGTAAGACTGTGGGGTCACCTATTACAATCGGAGTGAGAGCATGCATCTGCCACCCCCATGACTGCAGTGAAAAACAATCATCCTACATAAACAGACCATGTTCTCTTTCTTCTTCCCCCCCAAATTATATCATCCATGTTTTAAAAAAAGACAACTAGAACGTTTCATGGGGAATGGTTACACCTCTAAGGCCAAGCAGCATGATAGTGATGGGGCTGATGCTTTGCTTCCCACCTGAACTGGCAGGAGAGCTTGTGCTGCCCCTTGGTCCGGCTCATGGTTTCAGACCGCTGTTCACTTGAAGGAAGGCAGACAAGCAACATTCTATGGCTGTGAATTGTGCAGAGTTATTGAGTTATTTGGGGGGACATTTATTTTACCACTCATGGTTTTTAAGAAAGGACTTTTGCACAAGCAGATCCATCTCTTCCTCTTTGTGGCACTGGTGTTTTTTTCTGTTTTGTTTCTTTTTTGCAAGAATCATTCATCAGTTCATTTTGCTATTAGTTCAAATGATTTCTGAATACTAATTTTCTGGGATAATAACACTTGCAACTGAACTGTTAAGAGAGATAATATTTCTGCTCCATGAAATAGAATTTCCTGTTTTGTTTCTTTTTTGCAAGAATCATTCATCAGTTCATTTTGCTATTAGTTCAAATGATTTCTGAATACTAATTTTCTGGGATAATAACACTTGCAACTGAACTGTTAAGAGAGATAATATTTCTGCTCCATGAAATAGAATTTCCGATTCCCATGAACTCATCATCATCATCATCATCATCATCATCATCATCATCATCATCATCATTATCAGTAGTAGTAGTAGTAGTAGTAGTAGTAGTAGTAGTAATTGTGTGCTGTTAATTCTGACTTATGGGAGAGTTTGCCCCACTGTTTTCTGAGTAAAAAGTGCTCAGAAAACATTTATGCCCACATAGTTACTGTTCCTTTCTTCTGGGGACATTCTGGAACTGTGCAGCTTTCTCAAAGCTACTCAAGCTGATTCTTCTGGGATGCATAGTGTGGAATAGACTCCTAACCTGTGGCTCTGTAGCCACTGAGCTGTCCATAACTGAACTAAATATGTAACTGCCTCATAGCAAGTAGACCTGGGTGGTATAATTGGAATCTTGTTTAAGAGGGTATCAAGGCTTGGGAATATTTCCTGGGTTTTATGACTTCCTGCTCTTTGATGATATGACACTCTTGTGTCATCTCACAAACTACTTTTGAAACTTGATTCATCTTAAAATGAGTACAGTACTGTGATACAGATATATGGCATGACAGACGGTATTTGGGAAATAGAAAGTCCAAGGTCATTGAGGATGTGGAATTAATTCTGTGCCTTGCCTATGATTTTTGTAACTGAAGTGATTTGTTGATTGACAGGGGATGTAACAAGCAGTATGGTGTCTGAGTGTGGTTGGTGACAGTATCCTTTTCTTAGAAAACCAGGTCAGAAATCATTCATCTCTGTCTGATTCTTTTGATCTCACTACATATACATTAAATTTCCAGGGGGTAGGCATGGTACGATTGATGATTGGTTGGAATCAGCTGGTGCGGCTCCATGTGTATAAATGACAATGATATCATCAGCCTATATTACAATTTAATTTAAAGCTTCCTACCCTCTTCTGAGGTTCTGTAGAAACATTTTTTACTGAGGGCAGCCTTTAAAAGCCTCAAGATTGGGGAAGGGGAGTCTTTAATATTGGAAAATTACCACTGGATCCCTAGGGAGCCTCAGAACCTGGAAGGGATAGGAAGTTTTAAGTTAAAGAGCAAAATCACAGGCTGGTAACATCATCACTATTTATGCCCACATAGTTACTTAACAGTTTCAGCCTCTATATTGTTTTTTCCTTCATTAAAAATATTTCATGTGCACATTATTCAAAATTGATATAGAGTGTGGGAAGGAACTGAAATGTAGACTTTAATTTCATCTAAAGGCAAAACTGGACACAAGATGGGAGATCTGGGATTGCGTCTCCTGACATTTTCTTTGATTTAACAGCAGCTGTGATTCCTTCAGTATTTATTGTGGAGCTAAGGATTACCTATGCCAATTTCCTTCCCTTAAATCATGTCTTCCTCCAAATTCTGATTGTAGAGTGGAAAAACTTTAGATAAAACAAAGGTGCATGGTTCCCATCCACCCCATTCCCTGGTGGCTAACATCAGTTCATTTGGGATTTATGTCATGGAAATAGTTGGAAGGGTTCCAGGTCAATTCATTTCATTGTCTGACAGCTTCTTTTAATTGAAGTAAAACCCAGTGTGTTCTGTGATCTCAGTTTTCTGTGATAAGTCTAGTTTGGCTTACCAGACTGAGTCAGAGAACAATGATTTTGCCAAGTCTTTGCATTCAGGATGTCTGTATGTTGTCTTTGTTGTTGTTGTTGTTTTTTGTTTAATCAATGCTTTATGAAGATGATGATGATGATGATGATGATGATGATAATGATCTCTTTCCTTAGGTTTTGTTAACAATTCCATTGCCAAATGCATTGTGGCTTTGCGTTTAACGGTGACAGTAAAGGCCAGCACTTGCTCGCCTGAAGGAAGCCAATCAGATGACCTTCAATGTTCAGGGAAAGGAAGATGCATCACAAAGCCGTCAGAGGTAAGAGGAGTTAATGAACCTATGAGGATTTGGCAAGGTAATGAAAGAATATTCTCTGTCCTATTTTGCCTATGTGAAGCCCAACAGACCACCAAATGAGGAACCACCCAAGACAGACAATAGGTGGCAAACAGTGGCAACAAGCAGCTGAGTAACTATGGTGAAATTAGTGAGAGGCAGATTTGGAGGCACCGATCATAAAGAGACTGGTAGCAAGGTATAGAATTAGCCAGGTATTGTCTGCTGGACTTCTAGTATCTTTGCCTGGGCTGTCATATAATGGTGAGACAGGAGGGCTCAATGAAGATAGGAGTCTCTGCGTTTGAGACTCTAGATTCTTTCTTGGTTTCCTTCCTTGGTTTTTATTATGATTGCTTTTGGTGTTTGTTGGATCACCACATACATGATCAGATCAGGATACGTATACAATACAACTACAGTGGGGTCTCGACTTGCGAACGGCTCGACATACGAACGTTTCGACTTACGAACCACTCTCATAGGAATTGGCAACAAGCAGCTGAGTAACTATGGTGAAATTAGTGAGAGGCAGATTTGGAGGCACCGATCATAAAGAGACTGGTAGCAAGGTATAGAATTAGCCAGGTATTGTCTGCTGGACTTCTAGTATCTTTGCCTGGGCTGTCATATAATGGTGAGACAGGAGGGCTCAATGAAGATAGGAGTCTCTGCGTTTGAGACTCTAGATTCTTTCTTGGTTTCCTTCCTTGGTTTTTATTATGATTGCTTTTGGTGTTTGTTGCATCACCACATAACATACATGATCAGGATACGTATACAGTACAATACAACTACGTCTTCTGAGTCAATGGCCAAAATCCTCCTGCATAGCTATACAATGGTATAAATGTTAGAGGTGAATTGTCTGAAGTTAAGGAATCACTATAAACATTATCAGTTGAACACTAAGTCACACAACTCAGTATGCAACAGATAAGGTATATGGTGATTTTTTTAACTTCAGGCAATTCATCTCTAATATTTATAGTGTTTATCTTAGTAAACATTATCAGTTGAACACTAAGTTACACAACTCAGTATGCAACAGATAAGGTCTATGGTGATTTTTTTAACTTCAGGCAATTCATCTCTAATATTTATAGTGTTTATCTTATGCCATCTAAACAGGCAAGAGGAAATGAGCCAATAATACCACACAGTCTTCAAAACATGACATAGTTTTTGGTATCAGTATGTTTCAAATTGTCCTTCTGTGTGGCCTCTGTTTTCCCATAGCTAATAAGCCAATGTCTTTGAAGGTAGTTCTAAGAAAAAGATCAGAAGCAAGGAGATCTAATATTAGAATCCTGTGTATGATCGTGTGCAAATCAAGAAAGAAAATTCTACTGTAGTTCTCTGCATATTCATGCAAATTCTACTAAATTCAATGCGACTTAGTTTGAGTTAAGTTTGTGTGTGATGTTGTTAGAAAATGCAGAGATTTCTCCCTGTTGCACATCTGACATTCCTTAATTTAAAGATTTACACAGAAATCGTAGTGCCAGAACAGTTGGTTGGAGGGTATTAGAATAGAGAGGAGCTTCAGTTATGTGGGATATGTTTCTCCTCACAGAAGCCCCAGTTATGCTTAGAAAAAGCATTGTGACTATAAATCTTATGCTCACTGTAGCTTTTGGACAGGGTGTCTTGTGGTTTTGACAATGATTTATTTATTAAAATAGTTATATCCCACCTTTCTCCTCAAGATAATCCAGGGTGGCTGAGATAGTGGGGTCCTTGAATACTCTGGATTCAGAGTCTTTTCATTCCTTGGAAAAGCTAAAAATAGACAGTCTTTTACATATGAGAGCAGTTGCCATAACTAATCTCTTTGTACTTAAAACCAATAGGATTGAAATTATAATTTAAAAATCAATTCATGTAGTGCATGATTGAAGATAAACAGCCCCTAAATACACACCTTCCACCCTAACCAGGGTGAGGGGAAACCAGAAGAACTTTAGAAGTGGTAGATTATCTATTACCTCATATCTACCAATTCCATTTAGGACTGGATTATTGAGTGCTTCAAGAATATCAGAATTTTGTGTAACAAAAATGAATCAATACATTTATAATACATTATGGCAGATTGATGACGAGAATGACCAAACAGAAGAATTTGCCAAGAATCATTGTCAAGTATGCTTGCTGGATAACAGTGGTTTAGGTATGTCGTTGCAGAGCCAGAGGTAGGAGTTCAATTCCCCATTGTGCCTCCTTAACAGGGACTATTTTATTTATTTATTTTATTTATTTAACTTATGCCGCCCACTCTACCCAAAGGTCTCTGGGCGACTAGACTGAAGGATTCGATGAACCCTTCCAGCATTGCAGATCTAAGATATATCATGTTCTGAAAAGATGCAAAGTAAGAATATATTACCAAGCACTCTGTTACCTATTTTAAAAATATACTGTACTGGGTGATCCTTGCATTCTTTACCATCTTGAGATTTTGGTGGTTCTATAACATTAGTACAGCATTTTTCTGAACCTGCTCACCAAAGAACTTCTTCATTTTTAATGTGATGTCCTTTTTGCATATTCATTTTTGAAGTAGTTTAGAAGAAATTCAATACCTTTTCTGCAACTGATGTAGAAAACATAGATGTCCACATGTTATCACTTCAATTTGGGAGCGTGCTTTTGTATTATGTTTGCTGCCGGTTTTCCACCCCCTGCTTCAGTCAGACCTATTTCTCCTCCTAGATGTTTCACAGTTCAAAGCACTGAACTGGGAGATGAGGCTTAATCAAGTCAGATAAATTTTGTGTGCCATCAGCTTTCGTTTGCTCAGTAGAAGGGAAAAAGGTGCTTTCATTACAACTCCTGTCACAAAGAATAGTTCAGGCAGAATTCCTGGCACAGTGGGAGACTACAGACTTCTGAGGTCTTCGCAGTGACCTTGCCACCAGGATTGAAACTGTTAGATGTAGAGAGAGTTGTTTAGCCTTCACTGTCAACATTTATTAGTGAATGGAACAACAAACCTATGAAATCCACAGAAGTATTTGGGTAGAAAGTGTAGAAATAGTGACAGATTCATCATTTGGCATTTACATGGATATCTGTCACTTTGGATTTGGAAATTGAAATGTGATCTTACTCTTAGATGCCTGTGAGACAGAAGCTGAAGTTCTTTGCACACTTAACTTGGAAACACATATTAGACACAGTGGGACTTGTTTTTTGAAGCATGTGTGAGATTATACTGTGATATCTCAAGACAACTTCCTCAATATTTAATTCATACTTCAGTATTGAAATGCAAAGTCTGAAATATAAAATATAAAAATAACATTGAAGTAATTGAAACAGGTATCCAAATGAATAAAGGTAAAGGTAAAAGTTCCCCTTGACAATTTTTGTCCAGTCGTGTCCGACTCTAGGGGGCGGCGCTCATCCCGCTTTTCAAGCCATAGAGCCAGCGTTTGTCCGAAGACAATCTTTCCGTGGTCACATGGCCAGTGTGATTTAGACACGGAACGCTGTTTACCTTCCCACCGAGGTGGTCCCTATTTATCTACTTGCATTTGCATGCTTTCGAACCGCTAGGTTGGCGGGAGCTGGGACAAGCGACGGGTGCTCATTCCGTTGCGTGGATTCGATCTTACGACTGCCGGATCTTCTGACCCTGCAGCACAGGCTTCTGCGGTTTAGCCCACAGCTCCACCCCGTCCCAAATGAATACATTAAGCCATAAATGCTGTACACTTCAGAGGTCTAATGTTATACTTGAAATATGTCTATTGCCTTATGTTGCGGTGGTTTGAAATTTTACTGTATTTTTTAATTAGTTTTAATTGTTGTTAGCAATTAATTAATTAATACCAAAATTGTTGTTAGCAATTAATTAATTAATACAAAAAATAAGTTGTAAGCTTTAAAATAAATGTCAAATAGTTTGGTTGTACAATGAGAGGAGCATATGTAACAGAGTACTTGAGTTATGTCCTGGATTTAATAGTGAAAAGGTAATCTATTTTTGTGGAGATTGAATGTTTGTTGGATTACTGCACATGTAAATTAACAAATTGTAAGGAATTGAGTATATAAGAATGTAATAGCTAAAGATTTGGAAGATACTGACTTTTCCGTAGAATAAAAGAGCTCAAGTTATTCTTTATGCACAAAAAAGACAAACATACATAACTCTGTTATGAGAATCTATATTGCACATTTTAAAATGTGGTTTATAAGTCTACATTTAAAATACTTTAACTGGATAGAGTTGAAGAAATCAAATTAGCAGGAATCATAGTTTCGCTTTTCTACACATTGAGGTTTCCAATGTCCCTCCAAACAGTTAGGATGACCAGCTGGAAAAGAGAACCTTTTGTTCTGTGCCTTCATTAGTTGCTCAGGAGAGTGTTGTGTTTAGCAGAAGCTTTGTTGAATTTTCCTTCTTTACACAACTAATAAAAGTACAGAAACCTGTCCTTTTAAAAACTGTTTTCTCAATTTTCCTCCAATATGTTTGTACAGTATCTGGCTATTCCCAGGTATATCTTCTTCTGAAGATTCTTTAGTCAAATAAATTTATTTTTTTCTAGGTTGTTGAGGTGGTACATGGTCGTATCATAAGAGTGCCTGTCGGTTCTTACTTATATTAAGATACAAGAGTTAGTTATTTACAACTTACTTTGGCTTGTTTCCTCCCCCCCCCAAAACAATTCCCAATAATGAATGATTGCAACATAAGACAACATGTACTTTACATGAGAAAACATTATTTCCCATTTTAATTCTTGTGTCTTTTCAGCTTATCAGAGGACTAAGGCAATAGTATTAAACTGTAATTATAGAATATTCTGTGTGTTTTGGAAATGCTCTACATATCGAGAATTGTGGGAAGAGTTGAATATTGTGAGTAAAATAAGGTGTTCCCAGAAAGGGAAGAATGGATTTCAGGCTATACCATAATGTGTTTATTTACATGTATTTATTTATTTTACTTTTAAACAGATTCACTAGGA